GAACTCAATGTCATGTTCCTCAAACCTTTCTTAACAATTTTTGCAGTGTGGCAGGGTGCATTATTCTGCTGAAAGAGGCCACTGCCATCAGGGAACATCATTGACATGAAGAAGTTATGTAGTCTGCAACAATCTCTAGACAGGTGGCACATGTTAAAGTTGCATCCGCATGAATGCCAGGACCCAAAGTTTCCCAGCAGAACACTGCCTATAGCAAGGCAAACTTCTTCCATTGTTCCATGGTCCAGTTCTGACGCTCACATCCCCACCGTAGGTGCTTTTGGCAGTAGGCATGGGTCATCATGTGCATTCTGACCATACACAGTAAACTGTGATGCACTGTGCCCACAAGCCAGATGCTGATTCACTGGTTCACATTTGATAGGTATTAACTGCATACCGGAAACATCCCACAAGACTTGCCTTTTTGGAGATGCTCTGACCCAGTCATCTAGCTATCACCCAGTCATCTAGCCATCACTATTTAGCCCTTATCAAAGTCTCTCAGATCTTTTCCCTTGCACATATTTCCTGCTTCCAATACATGAAATTTAAGAACTGACTTTTCTCTGGCTGCCTAATATATCCCACCCATTGACAGATGCCATTGTAACAATGTAATTAATGCTATTCACTTCACCTGTCAGTGGCTTTAATGTTGTGGCTGATTAGTGTAGGTAAGTTGGCTCTCTATCTCTTGGCCATCTGCTGACAGACAAAATTACTTTTTACTCAGGCAGGCTTTTGACATCTAAAGTGCTTATAGTTTAAGAGACCACTTCTATTTATTGATTAGCTTTTTTCTTACATTTCCAAACTGTTTTTAACAATTTACTTCAATTTCTTATCTAAATTTTACTATCAGCTGCAAGGAAAGTTATAAATATAATAATAAGTAATACACACACAAGGGAATCAAATATTGGTTGTTGTGGGTTTTTCGGGCTCTTTGGCCGTGTTCTGAAGGTTGTTCTTCCTAACGTTTCACCAGTCTCTGGTGAACCGATCATCGCAAAGCGAAATTCCCCCATAGAGAATATCGCAAAGCGATCATTTTTGTGATCGCAAAAAATGCATCACAAAGCGATTTCATCGTAAAATGAAGTGATCGCTATGCAAGGCACCACTGTATAATCATGTTCTCAGTTGCATCCTATGAACAAATTCAAAGACCTACTCCCCCCCAAAAAAAACAGAAGTGGGAAACCATCTTCCCAACCTTCACAACACTAATGAATTCCATGATATAAACATTTTGATCAGGTTATCAGTAATGCCACTCCCATCAGGTATGCAGCTTGTTGTCTTACATACAAGACTAACAGTTCTGAACTTGGCTAAATAGGCAACTTGGATTCTGCAGGTTTTATATAACTTCCAGACTATAATCTGGAAGAAGAGAAATGTTTAAAGTAAATTTCTAGCCTTCATTGTTGCAGATGAAAACCTATTAGCATGGTGGTATAATTTACTGATGTAATCTGCCACACTGTACAAATTGCCAGTCCTCGTTGCAGGCAGCATCACATGGCAATCCAATCGACTGAGAGAAGAATAGTTTTATCAATTTGTAAGTCACATTATACATTCAAAACTGGAATGTGGAACTTTTGGTCCTTCAGAAATTTTGTCCCACAATTCCTTTCCATTGACCATAGTGAGTAGAGCTAGAGCAAATTCCAGGCCGAAGTATCTGGAAGGCTGAAAACTCCCCACCTCTGATCTTGTGTGTGTGCATGTGCACATGTACATGTGCGCACAAGTAATGTGTTAGGCTATCTCATTCTGCAAAAACAATTCTTATTTTAACAGGTTTTAGAAAACACTGTGGTTCTTTCCAGAAGTAATACCAAAACAAATATGGCATACGGGCTCATATACTAAATTTTCTTCCTCATAATTTTTGTTAAGTACAGCTTGCCATTATATGCAAGTGAGCAAGCCACATTTAGTGCTAAACTAAATCAGAGTGTGTCAACTTGTGACCCTCCATATACTGTTTGATTACAGCATCCATAATCATTCTGTAGTGGCTCTGCTAGCTAGAGATAGTGAGGGTGGCAATTCAACAACACTGGAGAACTACTCTAATCCATGATTTACAGCCCACTCTATACCACAGTTCTAGCTGTGGGTTTGGAGACAAGCAGTACCCATAACTTGCCACAGTGCCCAGACTGACAAGCTACCAAAAATCAGGAAGCAAATGAAGAGACATGTGAAGGCTTCCAGTCACCCAGCCACAGTCTGACATTACCTCTGAACTGAATACTGTACTATAAATATGCTGAACTTGCTAAGCGCCCTTAGGACCAAATGAACATAACTCTTGCTTGTCTTCTCAAAACATAATCTACTACACTATTTCATTTCATTGAATTATGCCTAGGAAGACACTGTAGTCCAGTGTAACAAACAAGAATTTGATGCAGTGGGAAGGAGGGACAAACTATTAGAAGTTTTGTGTAGAATGGACTCAACTGTTCAAATTACACTACATGGAAGGTGAAGAGAGATTTACACATTGGTAAATTGCCACAAGGTCTTCAGACATGCTAAATATTTCATAACTCTGCCATAGAGAAATGCCTTGAATTGCTTAAAGTATGTGATACAAAGTTATCAACAATAAGCCCACATTTCAAAGGCAGTAAGAATTACAAACATATGCTTTTTATATGGAGCAATATCTACTAACAATTTCAGTAGCTATGAGCAAAAGATGCTACTGGTTACGGAGCTATGTCTACTATACACACACACAAACAAACAAACATAAACACACACACACACGAGGTGACACCAAAGTATGTGGTACTTGGGAAATGGACTGTTGTTATAATTTTATTCCAAAGTGGCTTATACCTCTTTGCATACCTTATATGCATGCATATTTTCCAACTCTTTTGCCTGCTAACAGAATAAACTGCTTTTCCCTACTGCTTTTCACACTTGGGAATCTTCAAGATCTAAAATGACCCCCCAATATCTATGAGCATAATTCTACTGAACAAAAAACAACTCTATAACTGTGGTTAAAAGAGGGGACAGATAATGATGTGATCACAGAACAAGAAAGCTCTCCCTGCATATCAATAATGGGATTAATCCACAGATAATGCACACTTCTCAATAGTGAAGCATCCAGAACATCTTTGGGTCAAGAGGTCAAAATCTACCTCATGTGGAAAATTAGTGGAACCAAGAGAAAACTGAAACAGCTAGAACTGGCACCATTATCTTCTGAATCTATTACACTCACCATTTAAAGCAAGATAAGGATGCTGGAACCTGTATGGCAAGAGTCTCTCAGCAATCAGTAAGGTGAGTTTCTGGGGAAAGGGCTTCATTTTTGGACTTCAAATGAATCACAATACTCAATGAACTAGGATGACAGATGTCCTGCTGAGGAGCAGTAGGAGAGAGTCTACATACCCATGTTAAACTTTGGACCGCTACTGAGTATACTGCCTAGTATAATTTCTAACCACTTAGGTGAACAGTTCTTCTCCACTGAGTGCTTTACTGATTAAAGTTCTATCCCAACTGTTAACTAGAAATGCTCAAAACTGCTGGGAAACATAAAAGTGACAAGCGTTCTTACGTAAGTATCAGCACATTCTATATCGATACAAAACCCCACCCCCAATTTTCCAAAATCTGGAGCCTATTTTCTGATCATGAACAACCAAGTAAGCATTACCTTACACTGCATACAGAAAAGTGGATTTACGCAGGGAAATCCACACTTACCTCTGTGAGGAATGTACAAAATTAAACAATAAGCTGTGAGATGAATATTTCCTAATCTATCACTCATCCTCAGAACGCTACAAACAAACAATAAGCTGTGAGATGAATATTTTATAATCTATCTATCACTCATCCTCAGAACGCTACAAAATAGATCAATGTAAGTCATGACTAACAGGAGGGAAACATCTTGCTCAAGAATTCTGAAATAAAAGTACAGAAGACAGAATGCATGGGTAGTGGTGGAGGGTTTCGGATACATTTGTTCAGTACTCACAAGTTTGGTCATCTACCAGGAGGGCCTACATAAACTGACCTGCAATGTAAGTCTACGCTTGCTTACTTGGAAACAAGTCCCACCATTTCTTACGTTTAAGCCAGTATGTACTGCCACATAAGTTACTCCTATCTAAGACTGCAGCCTTAAAGGAACACTGGGGGAATGTTCCTATGCCATACTGTTCTTCTCTAGCCAATGCTATCAAATTAAGATACATTAACCATATATACATTTACGGGACATAATTGGTGTCAACTAGAAACAAAGGTGAAGTTCCCACACAAGCACACTCAAAGACAAACTTGAACTAAGAATATTGAAGCGTTACTCAAGCTACTTTTAGATATTCTACTGTTGGGGGGGGGAGGAATAGGTCGCAGACGAGGCATGGGTCCCATACACACAGCACCTTAGCCTAAGGTGGCAAAGGCTCAGGGGCAGAATTCAGCCGCCGCCCCCACTTCAAAAGTAGGGAATAGGAAAACAAAGCAAAAAGCTGGAAAGAATGTGAAAGGGACAGAGGATGAGGCTGCGGACGTTCATGAGTGGCACCCCGTACGACGAGACAGACAGAGTACAGTAAAAGAAAAGAAGGGGGGAAATAAAGGGCGGGTGTTTGCCACAAGTGCAGAAACACCGACTATCAGAGGTCTAGCGCCTTGACGGGGAAGGAATACGGCCGAAAGTACAGAGGGCAGCCGGAGGAAAGAGTTTAAAGTCCGAGAATTGGGGGTCGCCCTTCGCCCCACTGCCTCCAGGACCTTGCTGGGATTTTTTGAGGCGAACTCTTTGCAACCCCGACGCGATAAGGAGAGGGGCGCTGGGTCAGGACCCTGAGGCTGCTTCTAGGAAGGCGAGGAGGAACAAGGCTGGACTGGAGCCAGTCTTGCAGCCCCAGAGGCCGGCTGTGGTGTGGGGAGGGGGGTTAGCTACCCCCTCGTAGGTCCCACTTTCGCCCCCCACCTACCTGCCTCGCCTCGTCTTCCCACTCACCAGGCGCATCGTTAGTTACCACCCGGAGCTTCCATGACCTCCGGCTGGGCTCCTAGCGCCGACCCGCCTCAGCGGCTCTCGTCATCTCCTCCTCGGTCTCCTCCGGCCGCCGCTGCGGCCGCCATTTTGATCCACAGCTCCGGCCAGACTGGTTCCGACTGGGGGGGGGGGGAGAGAGAAGAGGAGGAGGAGGAGCAATCGAGGAGTCTGCGCAGCAGCGCCCTTGGCACGTGGTCTCCCTGGGTGCGGAGGCGGCCAATAGGGAGGACCGCGCGGGGCGGAACAAAAACTTCCACGGAAAGCCGGCGCGCCGCGCTAACAGCTAGGCGGAGCCGGGCTGCCCCCTTTGGTGATTCCAATGATGCCTACGTGCATTCAGCTATGTGTGGCATTGCAAGGTGTGCTCGATGCTGTACACGCATTTACCCAGCTGGAAGCCTTTGGAGTGTGTATCGGAAATTATTCTTAGATTTATTTTTATTTATACTGTATGCCGCATTTCTGTTGCTAGGCTTACTCGCTTTGATTGAGTACCGAAATGCCACGGGAAATTTTCTCCCACTTTAGAATACTTTATGGACAGAGGATCGCGCTGCCAGTCATGGTGCATCGGCGGCGGAGAGGTCCAGGTTGGTCCAGGTCCTTAAAGGGGGAGATCCACCTAAGTAAACTTTTCGGTCATGTCAGAGTATGCCTCTGACTTCTTTTTTTCCCTTCCACGCGACGTTCTTTTCTGATCTCGCCCGTTTTTTCCAACAACTTTTGAACTTAAACAACCTCTCATAGACTGGAAAGGGAAGGGACGAAACTTCCTGAATAAAAAATAATGAGCCTGGGCAAAATGAATTCAAAATGTTGTCGATCATGAGAAGACAAGGCTTTCTGGAAAAGACACTAATGCTAGAGAAAATGGAAAGTAGCAGAAAAAGAGGAAGATAAGTACAGTATGAGATGGATTGCCTCGACTAAGGAAGCCACCTCTTTGACTTTGCAAGAGATGAGCAGGGTTGTTAATGATGAAACATTTTGGCCCCCGCACATTCATAGGGTGGCCAAAAGTTGGAAGTGATTTGATGGTACATAACAATGAGGAACCTGGGCAAGCCCAAGTCATCTTGCTGCTTGAAGCAAAGAACAAAATACTCCTTCCCCAATTCTTTGTACTATAGCAAACTGTACTGTCTTTCTTCACCATAAGGCTGCTGCTAAAGTTAGGGAGAAGAAGGGCATGTATTGCAGGTACTGTAGCTCTTTCTACCAACAAACTGCTGCCACCTTGCAACCAGTGCTATAATGGAGTCAGGGCTTACAGACCTGATGCCTTGGGACTTTTTAAGTAGGATGTGCTATTAAATTATCTGCTGTACCCTGAGGCCTCTTGTTGCATCTAAACTTATATGTAGTTGTCACAGTAGCTGGAAAAGAAAACTTGTTTCAGGTAATCTCTGTTATAGTGTAAAGTATTTTAGGACAGTTTGGGTTTTTTAAATTAAAATCCATTAACATTACAAAAGATCTACCTCTGATAGCAATCTAGTTTAGGAGATAGAGTCACATAATGCCCATTACTCTGCTTTCCAGGAGAACAGATTTGCAAATGATGCAGGAGCAATAGGGGCTGACTATGCTACTACTGCTTCCACCCATCATTTCCATGGAAAAATCCAGCCTTACCCCATGACCTTGTAGAGGTCCAATCTGAAAGATCATGCAGAGGGTGGAGCAGATGGGAACAGGGGATTAAAAAAAATACTTTATTGGACTACAAATGCCAAAATCCTCGAGCTAGCACAGGCAGTGGCCAGGAGATTTGGGGACTTGCATCCCCCACCCACCCAAAAATACTTTTCCAAATGTGGATAAGCTAGCACAGGCAGTGGCCAGGAGATCTGGGGACTTGCATCCCCCACCACCACCACCCAAAAATACTTTTCCAAATGTGGATTGTGACTGCTGTGAGTACCTGGGCCAGAAAGGCATGGCAGACTACTACAGCTGATAGTTCTTGTCTTGGCATCCTTTCTCATTGTAAAATTTAGGAAATCCAGGTTCTGATTCCCACAGAGCCATGAAATTCACTGGGTGACTTTCAATAAGCACACTCTCAATCTACCTCCCAAATTTGTTTTGCAGGTAAGGAAGAGGAGAGAGATACAGACGTCTGTGCTGATGGTGGAGTCCAAGATAACACTTGTAATACAGTCCTTGACATTACTTGATGTGTTTCTTGAGAGCTTCCCACATCTAACAACAAACCACATGTGCATGATTCACAGTCACACTGTGGGCACACATATCTTCAGTCCCAAAACAATGATAGTAGAACATGTGTGCCTGTTTTTTTGGCGGAGTATTGAGCAATATACATATTTTGAAAAAAGCTTGAATAATAACTTATTTTGTGCTAGAAAATTCTGTTGGGAATGAATCAAGTCTAGATGTCCTTCAAAATGTTGAGCTCTTTCTTCAAAGGAGGAAAAAAACTACTACTTAGACTGCACTGCCATTGGGTCATGCTAGCTAGAGTATGCTGGGAGGTGTAATCTAAAAAAGTGACATTTTTCGTTTCCACGTCCAATATTGTTTCATAGGTTTTCCTCTGCTTTGCTTGCAGAGTTTGCTTGCATATCAGCATTTTATATATATATTCCTGGACTTTATATATCACTTTATATTCCTGGACTAATGATTTTTATATATTTATATGATTTATATATATAAATCATTAGTCCAGGAATATACAGTGGACCCTCGACTTACAGACGGCTCGACTTACAGACTTTTCGAGTTACAGACTTCTCTGGCCGCAAAATTTAGGTTCAATTTGCAGCCAGAGAATCGACCTACAGACCAGAAAAAAAACAAAATGGAACAAAAATGGAACAAAAACAGCCGGTTACAGGATTAATCGGTTTTCAATGCATTGTAGGTCAATGGAGACTCGACCTACAGACTTTTCGACCTGCAGCCACCATTCCAATACGGATTAATTCCGTAAGTAGAGGGTCCACTGTAAAGGCTCTTAACTATGAAATGCAAATCTAAAATCAAGGCTGAAATCATTTGAACATTAAGTCAGGAGTAAGCCTTATTTTAATTCAGTGGGATGTAATTCTGAGTAAATATATGTAGAATAAGGTTGTCTAGTTCCTGACATTCATTTTGTCACTTATGTAGAAGAAAACCTTAGAGATTCAAGAGCCAATTTATTAGCTAGGAGGACTGTCTTCTAAATACATTGTTTTGTCTTATGTGCAAGGACCTCACTCTATGTTGGAAAAATGTAAAACAAATCAGTGCTTGAGGCTTGGAGTTAGGATTAGGGTTCATTTGTACTGGATGCTGAAGATGCCGAATTATGAGATACTTGGAGCTCTTAAAAGAATACATTTTGGTCTTGATTCAGCAAGGTAAACAATGGTGGAAAATAAAGAATTTAAAATAGAGAACCTGGTGTCTTTAGCCTTGACGCCCCAGCCCTATGCAGAGCCATCTTTTCATCCACCTCAACTCAAGACTCATTTTATACTTCTCAGCCACCTAGACTGTGGCTTTTTGTGCAATAGATCAAAGAATTCTAGTGTCACTCAGCAATGTTTTTTTCTGGCAAGCTGTCAGTTCTGTTTGTAGGGCAATATATCAAAGTATAGTTCTGTATTTTCACTCATAATGAGGCACAAAGAAAGGTAGCAAAACATACCCAGGAGATACTGAATTTTATTCTGCTCTGTCTTTGTTTTCTTTCTTTCAGAAGCTGACTGGTGTCTCTGAAGGTATTGGCTGAACTATAGTCAGGTTCCTCTCCATCACATTTCTTGTCTGTCTTGCTTTTTCATTATTACAGTAGAGCAGTTTACAATCAAGTAATGGTGCTCCCTGTATTATCAAAATTGGTCCCAGAGTCTTGGTATGAATTGTACACAAATGTCTGGTGCAGTTCCTATTTTTAGCAGGATAATTACACAGATCTTTGCATTCTGTCTAGATCTCCAATGTGGGCATTTAAAAAAGAAAATAAGAATTTTAAAGAAGGAAGGAAAGGCATCCATTTAAAAAAATGTTTTCATATTAAAAGCTAAGCTGTTTCAACTTGCTAGTGTAGTGTACTAAAATAATGAATGATTTAAAAATCAGGTGTAAAATCTGCCATCTAAACTTATAGTATATGTTGGCTGAAAAACAGGAGGGAAGTAAGCAAATGTGGAGTTTTGTCTTTTTGAATGTCCTAAGGAAGGAAATCAGCAGCATGTTTCACCAAAGTATGCTTGTCCCTTCTAGCCCTGAATCCTGACTGAACCAAAAAGAAGAATCTTCTGTGTGGAATATGTTGTGCATCATCTGTTTGAACTACACTTCTGTCAAATGCAGCATAGCTTTTTCATAAATAACCTTGAAGGCATTGGACACCAAGCCTGAGTACTGAGTCTAAGAAACAAAACAGGAACAATAGGTACCCTGTTTCCCCAAAAATAAAACCTAACCTGAAAATAAGCCCTAGTATGATTTTTCAGGATTCTTGTAATATAAGCCTTACTCCCAAAATATGCCGCAGTTAAATGAAACCCCGCCCTCCAACATTGTGCAACAACCAGAAGACGACATGACTGCATTTGAATAAATGTAGGTTGTTGTACATGAAAAAATAAAACATCCCCTGAAAATAAACCCTAAAGCATTTTTGGAGCCAAAATTAATATAACACCCTGTCTTATTTTCAGGGAAACACAGTAGCAGTAGCCTGCCTCGCCGCAGTTAAATGAAACCCCGCCCTCCACCATTGTGCAACAACCAGAAGATGACATGACTGCATTTGAATAAATGTAGGTTGTTGTACATGAAAAAATAAAACATCCCCTGAAAATAAACCCTAAAGCATTTTTGGAGCCAAAATTAATATAACACCCTGTCTTATTTTCAGGGAAACACAGTAGCAGTAGCCTGCCTTACAAAAATTGCCTAATCCTTGAAGATACACTGAGAAACATAGATGAGTAAATGAAACCAGTACAGATGTTAGGCTAAAACGGCCAGAGACAGAAGGAAAAGATCTGAGAAAAGCAATGTAATGTCAATCCTTATCAATGAAGAAATTACCTTTTTTTTTCTCAATTAAAAAAGTGTATTG